GGAGCCTTTCCTTCCCAGAAAGAACAAAACCACTAGTGTTTTCACAGAGCCCTCCACTCCTGCACCTGGGTGGGAATACCATCTCCAGCCCCCAAATCATTAAGCCCGTCCTTATTTGCTGCTGGAGATGTCTCCATTAACAAGCGACCCTCAGATTTATCTGGAGGAGGACAAGAGGCCCTTGGAAGCCCCACAGTGGGTGGATATTGGGCACCCTGACCTTCCCACAAGCCTTGGCTCTCCCTGCACCTGTCACAGCTGGGAAGGTCAGCGAGGAGCCGTTCACGCTGAACTTCACCATCGACAACCTGCGCTACTCAGCGGATATGGGCCACCCCGGCTCCCTCAAGTTCAACATCACAGACAGCCTCATGCAGCACCTGGTGAGAGGCCAGCTTCCCCGTCCCCACCTCCATGACCCCTCCTCCAGGCTGTCACCAGCTGTGACCACACTGGCCCTCTCCTTCCTCTCCAGCTCAGCCCATTGTTCCAGAGGAGCAGCCTAGGAGCCCGATATGCAGGCTGCAAGGTCACCTCACTAAGGTGAGAACCCCTCCACCCACCCACCATGGCCCATCACCAAAGGACAGGACTTCTGACTATGGGGGGCCACTCCCATTTGTGGCAGACTGTCTTGGAGGGTCCTTTTTGGCACCCATGTCTTTATGTTACATTATTGTTATAATTGTGACAAAATACGTATAGACATAAAATGAGCCATTTCACCATTTCAAAGTATACATTTCAGTGGCATCTGTTACATGCACGATGCTATGAACCCATCACCACTAGTAGTTCTGAAACTCTTCATCACTCAGGCAATTACTTTCACTCTTCTGGGTTAGTATGCATTCTGTTAGTGTCTGCAAAGCACTTTTCCATCTGTGTTTTCCATTCCACTGTCATTGGTGGTGCAGATCCTCTGAGGCAGGTGGTGGGTACCACAGTGACAGCACAGGCACTCCCCCTGCATTCATCTAGTGGAGAAAGCAGAAATAAGTAGAAGAATAAATATCTAAAAGGGTTTCAAATATAGTAAGGTGGTGGGAAGCAGAAGTGCATAGAGATGGGAAAGCAGCTTTACCCAGGGCACAGGACAGTGTGTCTGTGGAGGTGATTTCTGAGCGGTATCCCAGTTGGAAAAGAAGGATTTGGCCATGAAAACTGTTCCAGGCAGAGGAAACAGCATGGGCAAAGGTCCTGAGGTAGGAATGAGCTTGGCATGTTCAGTGAACAGCGAGGAGGCTGGTGTGGCTGGAGCAGATAGAGAGGGACAGAGAGAAAGGAAGTGCATTTCCAGATAGCAACAAGGTCTACACTATGCAGAATCTTGGCGGGAATTGATTTTTTTTTTTTTTTAATTTTGGTAAAAGATGCCATAACAGAAAATTTACCATCTGAACCATTTTTAAGTGTCCGGTTCAGTAGTGTTAAGTATATTCACATTGTTGTGCAACCGATCTCCAGAACTTGCACAAACTGAAACTCTGTATCCATTAAACAACAGCTCCCCACTTCCCTCTACCCCCAGATATTAGCAATTGCCATTCTACTTTCTGTCTCCATGAATCTGACCACTCTGAGTACCTCATTACAAATGAAATCATATGGTATTTGTCTTTTTGTGTCTGTCTTATTTCACTGATCATAGTGTCCTCAAGGTCCATCCACGTTGTGGCAGGTGTCAGGATTTCCCTCACTTTTAAAGCTGAATCATACTCCATTGTATGGATATATCATATTTTGTTTATCCATTCATCAGGACTTTGGTTTTTGCATGGAACAGGCAGTGTGCGAGGTGCTGGGAGTTCGGCACAACAGTGAGCCAAACTGTCCCATAACACTTCCTCATGGAGGCCACTGTCTGAAGAGAAAAGAAAAATTAATATATGTTAACAGTAAGGGCCATCAGGGCTGGGATGGGGGAAGCTTGAGGTACTTAGTGGCAGCCAGGACCTTCTCTTGATTCAGCCTGGGAGGGTTCTTGGAGAAAGTGTCTAAGTTGAGATCTGAAGGATGACTGGGAAATTACCGGAGAGTGAGGAGAGAAGGGGAGAGACCTCCAGACAGAAGTCGCTGCATGTGCAAAGATACTGGGTTGAGAGTGTGTGGCCAGGTGGAGAAACTGTGAATGGTTCAATAAGGCTGGAACACAGGATATGATGTGTGCAGTGACCACGGGTGGCAAGGTGCCACATGGGCTGTACTCCCTACACATTGATCTCTCCTTCCTCAGGTCTGTGAAGAATGGCGCCAAAACAAGGGTGGACATCCTCTGCACCTACCGGCAGCCCCCCAGCAGCCCAGGTCTGCCTGCCAGGCAGGTGTTCCATGAGCTGAGCCGGCAGACCCGTGGCATCACCCGGCTGGGCCCCTATTCTCTGGACAAGGACAGCCTCTACCTCAATGGTGAGCGATTCTCAGCCCCCCTTACTGCTTCCGCCCCTCCATCCCACAGGTCAGGTCTCTAGGGGAAACCTTGAGACAAACTCAGGTGTGAATCTCAACTCCATACTGACCCCCACCCTCCAACTGTCACTCCGTAAAACTGTCCCTGATTGCACCTGTTTTACAGATGAAGAAATGGAGGCTCTAAAAGGTTAAGTAATTTGCCCAAGTGGGTGTAGCTAGAGAAGAGTGGAGCCAGGCATGAGCCCCAGCAGTCAGCATCCAATGCTATGCCCCACCCGATGCCTTTAACTCCTAGAAGGGTCATTCCAGGGGATACACGGGGAAAGAAAATCCCACATCTGTCTCCCCTCCCAGCTTCTCACCCTAGACTAGAGATGGGCTTCTCTCCTGATTGGGGCCCCAATGCCAGGGAGTTAGGTGGGCACTCTGAACATCTGTGGGGTCCAAGTTCTGGACATGCTGGGCATCAGCCTAGAAGCCAGGAAGGGACAGTGTTTAAGAGGGTGACCCTCCTCTGGGGTTCTGAGAGGCAGAACATGGAACATGGTGAGGTTTATTGGAATAACTCAGCTTCTCTCCTCTCTGTCCCCAACTTGGGGATGGTGTTTGGCAACTCACACTTTCTTATCACCATTGCCACATCAGGTGGGCAGGGAGACATCCTGGTCCTTTATGACTCCCATTTCAGCAAAGAGGGAGATGTACAGAGAAGGGAAGGGACCTGCCCATGCCACTAGTAGGTTTGTGGTCAGTCTGGGTCTTGATGTTGTGATTTCACATCTGTTCCCTTCACCTTGGCCATTGCAGGGGCCAGTTTAGGATATTTCCCCCTGTAAAATATGCTTCATTTTGTTCACTCAGTCATCAGTCACCAGTATCTGCTATAAGCCAGGCCTTGTGCCTGGCACCAGGGACAGACAGGCTACATGGGCAACCTGTCTTAATGTAAGCTCCAAAGGGGCAGAGACATTTTGTTCAGTGTTGTATTCCCCAAATGTAATAGAACTTGGCACATAGTAGGTTCTCAATAAATAGTTGTTGGATGGAGGGATAGATTGAAGGGAGGGCAGAAGGGTCGATGGTGGGATGGATAGATATGTGTGGGAATAAATGTGTGAACATAAATGTGATAAGAGTCTCTTGGGGGCATGCTGGAGAGGTGGATAGGGAAGGGTCATCTCTAACTGGAAGATCAGGAAAACCTTAATGATGGAGAGGACATTTGAGTCTGACCTTAGAAGATGCATAGATGCTTACCTGGTACACAGAGGGAAAGGCATCCAGCAGCAGGAGCCCCACACGGACAAAGACATGGAATATCTGGGATTGTTCTGCCATCTCCCCTTATGTGTGACATTTTTGTTTCCAGGCTATAATGAACGTGGTCCAGATGAGCCTCCTACAAGTATGTATCTTTGCATCCAGTACCAAAAGCCAAACTTTTCTCCTCTCTAATAAAGGGAGCTATCCCCAAACTCAGGCTGTTTTCCTGAGTGGGGCCAGGTGTCAGTGGGAAGAAGAATGCTGAGTCCTTGGTCTCTTCTGGGCCTGCAGGCATGACGTTGGCTTTCTAAACTTTCCACACCCTTTTGGGTTGGAGGAAGAAATTTGAACAAACATTTCCTACAGGGATGCGGGTTGAGGTCAGATGATGAGTCCGTGGCTCCTGAAAACAAGATCTCCTACAAGGGCCACAGAAGGGGCCTCAATATAGAGCGGAAAACTGTGGTGGCCACTCAGTGGTTTGGCCAAATTTGCCTGTTCAGTTGTCCAATGATCTCTTCATCTATCTTTTAATCCATCCATTCTTCCATTCTCCAAGTTATCTCTTCTCTCAGACTTCTCCATTCTTCCTTCCTTCCGTTCATCCATCCATCCTTCCTTTTCTCCTTCCCTCTATTGTTTCATCCACCCATCCATCAATTCATCCATCCATCCTTCCATCTCTCCTTCTTTCCTCCATCCTTCATTCCTTCTCTCCTTTGTCCATCCTTCCATCCATCCTTCATTTTTTCCTTTCTTCCATCCATTCATCTCTCCATCTATCCTTTCTTCCTTTTCCCTCCCTCCCTCCATCCTTCATTCATTCTATGCTTTATCCATTCTTCTGTCCTTCCTTTCATCCATCCATCTGTCCATCCATCCATCCATCCATCCGTCCATCCATCTGTCCATCCATCCATCCGTCCATCCATCCGTCCATCCGTCCATCCATCCGTCCATCCATCCGTCCATCCGTCCATCCGTCTGTCCATCCGTCCGTCCATCCATCCATCTATCCTCTTTCTATTCACTTGCTTGTCTTTTCCTCCTTTTGTCCTTGTATCCATCTCTCCAACTTTTCTTCCTGTGTTTATTCTTGCTTTCTCTTTGACACCTCATTTGTTCATTCTTCCTCTGTCCATCCAGGTATCCCGTCTGTCTGCCTGCCTTTCTGCCCATTCATCTCCCTGTCCTCTTTGCTTAGTCTCTCTCTTGTTCACCTACCCTACTTTCTTGAGTTTATTTCACTCATGGGCCCATTCACCCCTCTGCTCACACAATTCCTCCCTCCCTTATTCTCATTTATGGCACACCTGTGAATGCTTGTCCTGGGACAACCACTGCTGGAGCCCAGGCAAGCTTTGGGGAGTTTCTCCCACTCTGTGGGGACTCTGTTCCTTCCTGATGACTGCCCTTTCCACAGCTCCTGAGGCAACCACCACATTCCTGCCTCGTTCGTCACCACTTGTGCAACTAGAAGCCACCACAGGTATCTGGGAGATCCCTTTTCCTTCCCAAGAAAAGCTCTCCAGCCCCACACCTCTACCAGTCAGTTGTAAAATTCTGGTATAGGACAGTCATGTCAATAGCAAAGATTATACTGACAATTCAATCTAACACATACCCTCATGGAGCCCCCAGCCTTGTGAGATCAGCAGACCATTATAACACAGTGTGAGACATTTTAGGGAAAGGCACCTAATATGATTTTGAGGGGAAGGGCTTTCTGGAGAAAGTTTCACCCAAACTGAGTCTTTAAAAATGAGGAGGGGTCATCCAGGAAAATAGGGGATGAAGAGTTTTCTTGGTATAGGAGATTCAGTGAGCAAAGCCTCAGTGGCCAGAAACAGCATAGTGTATGGAGAGAACTGAGAGGGATTTGCTTTGCTTAAAGCATTAAGCTTAACCTGGAGTAGATGGATAAGTGAAGCTGAAAGGTTGGCAAGAACCATACTGGGAAGGACCTTGAGTACCAGGTCAAGAAGCTTGAACTTGACACTGAAGGCCAAAGGAATCCATGGGCAGTGGTGACTATACTGAAATTTTCACTTAAGAAAATCTCTCCTAGTGTTCAGTGTAGAGAACATTCTTTAGAGAGGGCATCCAGTAAGTCTCCTGGGGTGTTGGTCCAAGTGAGAGAAGATAAGGCTTGGGCTGGAACAGGACAGAGAGTGGGTGTATGTGAGGAGTCTTCTGCAAGTGGAATTGGGGTTACTTGGAGGGGAGGGAGGAGGAGCTGAGCAACATGCCGGTTTTGACTTGGGCGACCAAATGGTGGGTGGTGGTGCCCCTGGAAGAGAAGATGACAGAGTACAGCGAATGCACGACTCTGATTTGGTCTCAGGCCAACTCTCGGTAGTAGCCGTCTCTCCCCTCTCTTCTTGTAGCTATGGGACACAACCTGAAGACCCTCACACTAAACTTCACCATCTCCAACCTCCAGTATTCAATGGATATGAACAATGGCTCAGCTATGTTCAACTCCACCAAGAGGACCCTGCAGCGCCTGGTGAGACCCTGCTCCCAGCAGCTCCAAGTGGGTAAATTCCACCCAGCCCTTCCCCCACCCTTGTCTCTCCTGTTCATTCTCCTCCTCCTTCCTCCCCAGCTTGGATCCTTGTTTCTGAAAAGCAGTCTGGGCCCCTTCTACTCAGGTTGCAGACTAATCTCCCTCAGGTAGGACTTTTTCCTGAGCATTTGCCAGTAGTGACCATTTTGGTGACCAACCCTTCCAGTTTTCCCACTGACCTCCCATTTGCTCCTGCCTCCTTGTGGCCCCCGTAGTGAGGTTTCAGGACCTCTCTTTAGAGTCCTCACATCCCTCTCTCCCCAGACCTGAGAAGGACGGGGCAGCCACCCATGTTGATACCATCTGCACCTACCGCCATGATTCCATGGGCCATGGGCTGGACAGAGAGCGGCTTTACTGGGAGCTGAACCAGCTGACCCATGGTGTCACCCAGATGGGCCTCTACACCCTGCTCAGTGACAGCCTCTTCGTCAATGGTGAGTGATTTACAGCAATCATTATTGGTCCCTGTTCTACTTTATTTACTCTTTAATAAGTCAGCCCAAGTTCTGATTAGTGGACACCCTCCCCAAACTTTCCATGGAGAGAGTCTCTCTTGTTATTTCAGGTAAATAGCATGAAATTCTTTGACAAATTAATATAATGAATTTTAATTTGAACCCCAAATGTCTGATTCATGGAATCTTTTGGGACAGGAGTTCTTCTATGTGAGGCTCCTCTATGTCAGTGATTCTAACCTAGAGGCAATTCTGCCCCTCAGGAGACACTTGGCAATGACTGGAGACATTTTGGTTGCCACAACTGGGGAAGAGTGCTACCGGCATCTAATGGCTAGAGGCTAGGGTTGTTGCTAATGTCCTCCAACAAACAGGAGATCCTCACCACCAAGATTTACATAGCCCCAGATATCATTAGTTCTGAGGATGAGAAACCCTGCTCTACATGGTCCCATGGTCCCTAGATGGGCACCAGACCAACTTATCATACTTCACCACAATTGTTTAATTATCCAACTCTACGAAATTAAGGTCTTGTAATATGGTACTACAGCCTCAGTTCTTTATGTGTTAGTACATCATCATACCCAATGAATGAGTAAATGAGTGAACAAAATGGAGATGAGTATCTCAGCCCTGCTATTTGAGGATCCACTGCAGTTCACATTCACTCCTTCAACAAACACATATACATTACCATTCTGTCCCAAACCATGTGCTGGGTACAGAGATAGAACACACAGGTTCTGTCCCTGAAAATCTCATAACCAAGAGAACTGAATATTACTTAGGGGGCGCCTGGGTGGCTCAGTTGGTTAAGCGACCGCCTTCAGCTCAGGTCATGATCCTGGAGTCCCGGGATCAAGTCCCACATCGGGCTCCCTGCTCAGCAGGGAGTCTGCTTCTCCCTCTGACCCTCCCCCCTCTCATGTGCTCTCTCTCTCTCATTCTCTCTCTCTCAAATAAATAAATAAAATCTTTAAAAAAAAATATTACTTAGGGACACACAAAAAAGACAGAGACACTGCTATTAACAGGGTGCCCTGGAAGCACAGAGGAGGGACAATTCAGGGAGGGCTTCCTGGAAGAGGATATTATGTACCCAGTACTGTACTAAGCCCAGGGACATGGCAAGAACCAGATCCCTACTCTCCTGGAGTTCCATCTCACTGGGGTTCTGAAACATGAGTAGGAGTTTTCCAGGAAAAGCAGAGGACTGAAGAACATTCCAGGAAGTGGGAACTGCATAAGCACAACAGAAAACCTCACCCCGAGACTGTAAAATTCCAGTTTTCCCCCTCTGTGGGGTGACTTTCCATTTGGAAGCCCCCAGCATGTGGGCCTGACTTGGGCTGATTCTGACAGTAGGCACCATGCCTCTCTCTGTGCTAAAGGTTAAGAGTCTCCAGCTGTCTTTTCTCCCTCTCACTGGCTCCAGGCTATGCACCCCAGAGTTTATCTACCCAGAGGGAGTATCAGCTAAATTTCCGCATCGTCAACTGGAACCTCAGCAACCCAGACCCCATACCCTTGGAGTCCACAGCCCTGTGGAGGGACATCCAGGACAAGGTAGTGTCTCTCTCTCCTGTCCCATCTCTCCTTGGCCTGGGTGCCCCCCTCATTCCTCTGTCTGATTCACATCCATCAAGTGGTTATTTTAACTCTCCACTTTACCTATGTGTTCTGAGTTCTCTCAGTTTATGAAGGTGGTGCTCTGGCTGCCTTCCCTATTTTCCAGATGGGCAAACTGAGGTTCAGAAAGGGGAGTGGTGTGCCTAAGATCACACAGCCAGGATTTGAACTCAGAGCTCCTTTGCTCCAAGGCCTGTGTTCTTTCACTGGCTCCAGTAGCCCACTCCATCCCCAGGAGCCCTCCATCTCACCCACTGTCCCCACCCTTTATTCTAGGTCACCAAACTCTACAGAGGCAGCCAGCTACAAGACATGTTCCGCTCTTGTCTGGTCACCAACTTGACGTAAGTTGAGGAGATTGGAAGCACTGGCTGAGCTGGCAGCTTGTGGCTCTGAGCTTCCGTCCTGGCACAGTCTTTGAGCTGAAAGTCACTGACGTGGTACCCATGCTCCCCCACGTCCCTGTCATCTATTCCTACCATCTCCTTCCATAAGTCTTCAAAGCGGGGGCAGGGAAAGGATTAACCTCACAGGGCCACCAACATTAGCATCCACCACCTTCTCCTCTTCTGGATACTTTCAACAAAGATCAGCCCAGCAATCACATTTCCCATGGCCGCACCCCTGCTGAGCACTTTCATGCGTTGTCATCTCATGGGATTCTCACACAGCCCCTGTGAGATGGATACTATCGTGATCATCCCCATTGTTCAGATGGGGAAGCTGAGGCTCAGATAAGTGAAGTGAACAGCTCAAGAATTGCCCAAGTTGGGTTTCAACCCAGGTCTGTGAAGAATGGGTGGGAGAACTGAGACATCTACACTGGGGAACAGGAGGATCATGGACACAGTGCTGACTTTGAGTGTTTCCAAACTTCAGTTCCTTTGTCTCTAAGATGGGGATTATTATAATAATACTTTCCACCAGAGTGATGGTGAGGGAATGTGTAAGTCACTTCCTAGAAGTGCTCAATAGATGTTCATTATTTTTATATTTGTTCTATTCCCAACTCCTGGAAACCTTATATTTTTGGTGAGGTCTCCTCTAGCCTGGGAGATCATCTCTCACTTCTTGCCTCTAGGTCTTTGGGTCTATAAAATAGGAACTCAGGAGACCCTACTGATGTTGAGCGATGGCTGAGTTCCATGGTCTCTGTCCCTAGGTTGGGCTCCATGTTTGTCACCATCCAGGCACTGTTCTCTTCTAATGTGGACCCCAGCGTGGTGAAGAAAGTCTTTCTGGACAAGACCCTGAATGTCTCATCGCACTGGCTAGGCGCCACCTATCAGCTGGCGGACTTTCATGTGACAGGTGCAAGATTGGGGGCTGGGTTCATGGCTTGAAGAGATGGGGCTATGAGGAAGGAAGGATGGGGCTTCTCAGTAGCAGTGGAATGGATGGAGGCTCTGGAGGGGAAAGGGGGGCTTTCTGGAGGCCCATGTTGATGACCCATGGCACTGGATCATCCAACAGGAGGTAGGAAGAAAACATGCAGCAACTGCACCCAAGGGAATGATTATTTTTACTCGTAAATCTTTCTGGCCCAAAATGTAGAGTATCCTGAGTTGCCAGAGTCATACATTGATTGATTGATTGAAGGATGCGTTCATTCATTCAACAATATGTCGTGAAAGTAAATAGGCACTGATGATGCACTGTGGTAACTGCTATAATCAGAGAATTTCAAGAGCCTATGGGAACCCCAAGGAGGGACGCACAGCCCATCTTGGAAAGTTTTCTGGAGGAAGTGATGAACAAACTGAGATGTGATGGTGAACATGACCTAGCCAGTGGGAAGAGATGGGGAGTTGAGCTACATGTGTTTATAACCTAGAAGACAGAATATTTGGGGAGGCTATAAGGAGTTTGGTATGGCTGGAGCAAATACCTTGATGTGGGAGAAATGGCAGGTAAGGCTATAGATGCAGGCAGGGACTTTCTTAGGCACTGCAATGGTTTGCAGAGGAACACAACACAGAGTTCTGCTTTAGAAAGCTCATCCACTGGGTGCTGTATAGAGAGTAGATTGGGAGGGGGAAAAGACCAGAGGCAGCAAGACACATTAGAAACCTTGGTCAGCAAAGGTGTATGACAGATGTCCCCTGAGGTGATCAGCACCTGCACTTGCCCTCTGTTCCCCAGAAGGGCCCAGTCTCCTCTTCCCCACATACTAGTGAGCTCTCATAATGCTTGGGGGAGAGTTGGATGGATAGACAGATCAATGGATTCAAAGTGTCCAGGTGGATAGAGGGTCTCATGTAGCCCACCTTTAAAAATCCATTGCCAGGAATAAGTAGACTAGCTGGAATGACCTCTTTGCTAATTTCTTCACCTGACTGGGACTTTTATACCTTCTTTTTATTATAGAAGTGGAGCCATCAGCTCATCTACCAACAGACAAACCAACAAGCAGTCCCCGCCCTGAGCACTTCCAGCTGAATTTCACTGTCACCAACCTACTCTATTCCCAGGACATAGCCCAGCCGGGCACCACCAGACACCAGCAGAACAAGAGAAGTATTGAGAATGCGGTGAGAATGGGGTTGTGTGTCCACTCTGTCCGCAGGTAGAGACAGACCTATGGACACTGGGTAGTCAGAGGGTGATTTTTCATAACAATTCGTGAAGACAGGTTCTTATGCCCATTTAGAAATTAAGAAACAGGCCCAGAGAGTTTCAGTAGCTAGTCCAGGGTCATATAACTAAGTCATACCCTGGAATGGGATGTCCTTTGGTACACATATCTGGGCTAGTGTTTGTTGAGATAAGAAAAAATAGATGGGGAAGTATGCTCAGTGGCTAAAAATTCTCTGATGCCACTTGGCCTGGGATGATGATCAAGGGAACATCGCCCTGTCTTTCAGCTCAACCAGCTCTTCCAAAACAGCAGCATCAAGAGTTTTTTCTCTGGCTGTCAAGTTTTAGCATTCAGGTGAGTTCCAGCTCAGGACCTAATCACTCCGGAGACTCCTGCTGTCCTTTAAGTAAAAGTGTCCCCATGTCATGGTCCCAGTTCTAGCTCTTATGGAAGATAGCCCTGAGAGTGTAGAACTGTTACCTAAAAACCAACTTGTTCCTAAACCAATGAGCCCAACTGGCTTAGAAATTCGAGAAAGCCAGGGTAGACTTCAGCAGACTTGGAGGTGCCTGGTGTTGGGGCCATGCAACATGGAATGTAGCATCCATGCCTTAAGAAATTAGCTGTTGAAGTCAGGATCCATAGAAGATGGGGGTGGCTAGAACCAGATGACTTAGAATCCAGCAGTCTAATTGTGCCGCTCAGTAGTGTAGCCACTAATCAAATGAAGCAATCCAAACTGTTTTACATCTATTAAGATATGATTCACATAGAAAATGTACCCCTTTGAAGTGTACAATTTAGTGGTATATTTATAGAGTGGTACAACCATCCCGCTATCTAATGGTGGAATTTTTTTTATTATGTTCAGTTAGCCACTGTATAGTACATCATTAGTTTGTTTTTTTTTAAACATATCCTTCTTTTTTTTTTTTTTTTTATTTTTTTTATTTATTTGACAGAGAGAGTGAGAGAGCACAAGCAGGGGGAACAGTAGAGGGAGAGAGAGAAGCAGACTCCCCACCAAGCAGGGAACCCGATGCGGGGCTCGATCCCAGGACCCTGGGATCATGACCTGAGCCGAAGGCAGACGCTTAACCATCTGAGCCACCCAGGCGCCCCTACATCATTAGTTTTTTTTTTTTTTTTAAAGATTTTTATTTATTTGAGAGAGAATGAGAGATAGAGAGCACGAGAGAGAAGAGGGTCAGAGGGAGAAGCAGACTCCCTGCTGAGCAGGGAGCCCGATGTGGGACTCGATCCCGGGACTCCAGGATCATGACCTGAGCCGAAGGCAGTTGCTGAACCAACTGAGCCACCCAGGCGCCCTACATCATTAGTTTTTGACGTAGATGTGATGTAGGGTGTGGAATGTTGTTGTTTTTTTTAATCCTCTCCTCATTAGCAGTTGCTTCCTAGTCTTCCCTTATCCGCATCCCCTAGAAAACAATAATCTACTGTCTCTCTCGATTTGCCTATTCAGAACATTCCATATAAATGGATTCATATACTATGTGGTCTTTTGTGACTGACTTCTTTCCCTGAGCATGATGTTTCCAAGATTCATCCATGTTGTAGCACATATAGGTACTTCATTCCTTTTTTTATGACTAAATAATATCTGTTGTATAGCTATATTACTTAAAAAATTTTTTATTTAAATTCAATTTCATTAACATATACTGTATTATTAGTTTCAGAGGTAGAATTGAGTGATTCATCAGTTGCATATAACACCCAGTGCTCATCGCATCATATGCCCTCCTTAATGCCCATCACCCAGTTACCCCAGCCCCCACCCACCTCCCCTCCAGCAACCCTCAGTTTGTTTCCTAGAGTTAAGAGTCTCTTATAGAGTGCTCGCTTCGGCAGCACATATACTAAAAAAAAGAGTCTCTTATAGAGGCAAACCATAGGGTGGCTATACCATTTTGCGTTTATCCATCCATTCATTGATGGACCTTGGGTTATCTCCACTTTTTATCTATTACGAGTAATGCTGCTATGATCATTCTTGCGTAAGTTTTTGCATCAGTTTGTGTCTTCAGTTCTCTTGAGCATATACATAGGACTGATATTGTATGGTCATATGGTAATTCTGTGTTAACTTTTGAGGAACTACTGAACTGTTTGCCACAGAGGATCTACCATTTCCCACTCCCACAAGCAATATATGAGAGTCCCAAACTATCCAGATTCTCACCAACAATTGCTATTATCCTTTTTTTTTACTATAGTCATCCTAGTGGATGTGAAGTGGTATCTCACTGTTGTTCCAATTTGCATTTTCCTAACAATTAGTAATGTTGAACATTTTTTCAAGTACTTGTTGGTCATTTATTATCTTCTTTGGAGAAATATCTATGCAAGTCCTTTTCCCAGTTTTATGTTGATTTTTTTTATTGTTGAGTTATCATCATTTTTGTATGTTCTGGATAGTAGACCTTTATCAGATATATGATTTGCAAATATGCTCTTCCATTTGTTACATTGCCTTTTCACCTTCCAGATACTACCTTTTGAAACACAATCATTTTTAATTTTGATGACTCTCAATTTCTCAATTTTTTCTTTGGTTGTTTGTGATTTTAGTCCCAAATTTAAGAAACCATTGCCTAATCCAAATTCACAAAGATTTACACCTAGTTTTTTTCTAAGGGTTTTATAATTTTATCTCTTACATTTAGGCATTTGATTTGTTAATTTTTGTCTATGTTGTGAGGTATGAGTCCAACTTCATTCTTTAGTTTGTGGATATCTAATTGTCTCAGTACCATTTGTTAAGTAGACTATTCTTTCCCTATTATCTTGGCACCCTTGTTGAAAATCAGTTGTCCATGATTGTATGAGTTTGTTTATGGATTGTAAGTTCTATACTTTTTAAAATTTTTTATTTAAATTTAGTTAACTTATATTGTATTATGAGTTTCAGGGGTAGTATTTAGCAATTCATCAGTTGTGTATAACACACAGTGCTCATTACATCGTGTCCTCCTTAATGCCCGTCATCCAGTTACCCTACCCCCCACCCACCTCCTCTCCAGCAATCCTCAATTTGTTCCCTATAGTTTAGAATCTATTATGGTTTGCTTCCCTCTCTGTTTTTATCTTATTTTATTTCTCCTTCCCTTCCCCATGTTCAATTCCACTGACTATATGTCCATCCTTATACTAGTGGCCACTGTTTTTATTACTGTAGCTTGGTAGTAAGTTCTGAAATTGGGAAATGGAGTTCTCCAGTTCTGTACTTTCTCCATATTGGTTTACCTATTTGAGGTCCCTTGCAACTCCATATGGATTTTAGAATCAGCTTGTTAATTTCTGTAAAAGAGTTAGCTGGGATTTTGGTAGGGATTGCATCTAATCTGTTGATCAAATTGGGGAGTATTTTAACAATAATACATCCCCAGTCCATGAACATGGGATGCTCTTCCATGTATTTAGGTATTTTAAAATTTCTTTCAACATTTTTTGTAGTTTTCAGTGTACAAATCTCACAATGCTTTTGTTAAATTTATTCCTAAGTGTTTTATATTTTATCCTTTGATGCTATTATAAATAGAATTGTTTTATTAATTTCACTTTAAGAATGTTAATTACTAGTGTATATAAATACAATTGATTTTTGTATATTGGTCTTATATCCTACATTCATGCTGAACTAATAGTTTTTAGTTTTGTGCGTGAGTGTGTATTAGGATTTTCTATATTCAATATGTCATCTGCAAATAGAGATCATTTTACATCTTTCCTTCCAATCTGAATGCCTGTTCTTTCTTTTTCTTGCCTAATTGTTTTATTAAAATTACATTTATTAAAATGTAAATAAGATATGAAATGAAGGAAGACAACACTGTTTTGTCCGTGGTCTTAGGAAAAAATTTTTAGTCTTTCACCATTGAGTATGGTTTTATCTGTGGGTTTTTCATGGATACTATTTTTCAGGTTGAGCAACTTTCTATTCCTAGTTTGTTGAGCTTTTTTTTTTAATAATCATGAAGGATGTATTTTCTTTTTTTTTCTTTTTTTTTTTTTAAAGATTTTATTTCTTTATTTGAGAGAGAGAGAATGAGAAGAGGGTCAGAGGGAGAAGCAGACTCCCTGCTGAGCAGGGAGCCCGATGTGGGACTCGATCCCGGGACTCCAGGATCATGACCTGAGCCGAAGGCAGTCGCTTAACCAACTGAGCCACCCAGGCGCCCCATGAAGGATGTATTTTCTTAAATTCTTTTTTTTTGGATGTGTGTTATTTTTCCTTTATTCTATTACTCTGCAGACAAGTCAACCATTGAAAATTCAATGGGAATGGGTCTTTTGGGGAACTCCAAATAGATTGTGGCTGCTAGGCTGCTGGTTTTCACAGCTACCATGTTCTCATACTGCTGGCTTTCAAAGTTATTATGAGAGCAGGATGGGGATAATGCAAGTTCTAATGCCGTAAATCTTGTTCCCTTTACCAGGATTCAGCCATTTTTTCCTCAACTAAATGATCCTCAGAGTGTTGCAAGCCTTTGGTTAATTTCTAGACTTCTGAAAAAGTTTTGACCATTCTTCCCAGCGTTCTCAATGATTTTATGGATTTTTGGAAGTCCTACTGCAAACATTTCAAAAATGTTTTCCCCATGGCTTTTTATTTATAAACTAATTAAATTAAATAAAGTGAGACATTCAGTTCCTCACCCACACTAACGTATTTTAAGTGCTCAACAACATGGGGCTAATAATGACTGTATTTTTATATTGCAGGCACAAATGTTTGTATCATTGTAGAAAGTTCTTTTGGACAGGACCTAGAAGCAGGGTAGAATTCAAGATAGCCTTGTTCATTTCTTTTGCCCTTCCAGGTCTGTCCCCTACAGCAACCACACTGGGGTGGACTCCCTGTGTAACTTTTCACCATCGGCTTGGAGACTGGACAGAGTTGCCATCTATTTGGAGTTCCTGAGGCTGACCAAAAATGGTACCCAGCTGCAGAACTTTACCCTGGACAGAAACAGTGTCCTTGTGGATGGTAAGGCTTCTTGGTCATTGGGGCAGGAGTTGGAGGTCCAACCTCCCCATGTGGGGCCTTTTCTGGGAATTTGGAGACCTGGGGTTGAGTCAGCATTAAACTTTTTTAGGCTGACAGGAGGTGGCATACTCCCCCAGGCTTTATCCACCATTGAGGGAGAGGAAGGGACACCCAGTGGAATATTAGAGATACTTGCCTTCTCAGAGATAGCTCTGTAACCTCAGGCTGGTCACTTACCCTCTCTGGAATTCTATTTCTCATCCCTGTACTGAAAGTCACTTGGCCAGTGGTCAGTGAGGGACTCTAGCTCTGAGCTGTATGTGAACCAGTCTTGCAGGCATAGGGGATGGACCTCTTTTCTCCAAGACAGGCTGTATAAAAAAAGGACCTGTATAAAAATGGACCTGACTTGGCCCATAGGCTGTAGTTTGCCATGTTCTGCTCTGGATCAGCACCATGCAGCACAACTTTCTGCAATGATGGAATGTTCTATATCTGTGCTGTCCAGTGCAGTAGCCACGTGTGACTATTGTGTACTTAAAGTCTGGCTATTGTGACTGGCTTTTATAGTTACTGATTTTTAATGTTACCAAGGTACCAGATTTTTTATTTGATTTGATGAAAATTATTTTTAATTTCAAAAGCCACTTGCAGCTGCTCCATATTGGACAGCACATCTATAAGAAGTTCGCTGGGGATAGGTTGTACAGTAGGGTGACCTGAAACTCTCTTCCATGCCTGGTGGGTTCTACGTGTCCCTACCCTCATGGGGTTTATGTTGCAGTTGCAATAACAAGAATAGGCAATTGAAAAGTATTAATTATTTGGTGTGAAATAATTCATACTTGGGAGTGGTCATCAGAGAAGTCTTCCTGGATGAAATTACATTGTAGGTGAATCCTGGAAAATGAGTATAAAACAACTTGGTAAAGGAGAAGGGGTGAATGTGTTTCTGGGCAGAGAAGAGAGCATTTGAGAGGGAATTTACAAATTTAGAGAGATCCCTTGGTCTCGCCAGCTATGATAACCCATTCTCCCCTCAACCATCATAAGATGGCCCAGCCCAATTTCAGTCCTCCTTGCCCAGAGGTATGAATTTGATTTAATTTATTACACTCCTTGAGTGTGATAATAGCCTTGGATTATGTAGCAAAGTGTCCTCATTTCTTAGAGAAAAATGGGTGAATATCATGAGTTCTACTTCGACATTTCAGTGAAAATATGATGAAGCAAGGGTGGCAAGTGCTAACAATTTATACACTGGATGAAATATTGTTTTAATTGGGTGAAATATACATTGTTAAATCTAGATGATGTATGTTTATGATATTGTTCTATTTTTCTGTGTACTTTAAAAGTTTTATTTAAAACGCATAAAACACAGTCACATACATTCTCCATTTCATTCACTTCCAGGGTATTCTCCCAACAGAAATGATGTCTTAACTGAGAATTCTGGTAAGCCTCAAAGAAGCCCCAGCTCAGGATGGGGAAGGAATGTCTTGATGCTGTACCTAGTCAAAGAAAACCATGTACCCAGAGTCTTGATAATGATGAAAGCTGGACAACCCATGTCAGAGACTGTTAGACACAGTACAGGGAGAGCAGGAGCCCTAGGGGAATGACAGGAGGTGGCTCACACCAGCACTTATCTCCCCAGACCTCCCCTTCTGGGCCATCATCCTTATCTGCTTGGTGGGACTCCTGGTACTCATCACATGCCTGATCTGCTGCTTCCTGGTAAGTAAGGAAGGTTGCTTATCTTTTTACTATTGGGTTGTAAGAGTTTTTTATATTTTATAAATATATGTCCTTTGCTGGGAAAATGTTTTATGAATTTTTCTCACAGTTTGTGTGTGTCTTGCTTTTTCCTTTTTTTAATTGTTTTTTTTAAAGATTTATTTATTTATTTGAGAGAGAAAGAATGAACAGGCAGAGGGGCAGAGGGAGAGGGAGAGAGAGGATCCTCAAGCAGATTCTCCACAGAGGGCAGAGCCTGATGGGGGGGCTCAATCCCAGGACCCTGAGATCATGACCTCAGCTGAAATCAAGAGTTGGCCTCTTAACCAACTGAGTCACCCAGTGCCCTTTGCTTTTTCCTTCTTTTAAACAACGTAAGTCTTAGAGAAACATAAGTGAAAGTCATAATGAGATACTATGACACATGAGGATGGCTAAAATTAAAAAGATTGACTCTTGACAAGTGGTGGTAAAGATGAGGAACTACTGTTACTCTCAAATAGTGCTGATAAGAAATAGATTGGATGCATCTTTAAAGGTTACATATACCTACTCAGCCATTCCACTCCTAGGAATTCATGGAAGAGAAATAATAAAATTAAATTAAATTAAAATAAAATAAAATACAATAATAGAATCTATACAAAGACTTGTACACAAATGTTCATAATAACTTCATAAAAACTGAAAACAACCCAGAGGTCCGTCAACAAGTGAACGGATAAACAAACCATGGTCTAGCCCCACAATGGAATACTAATTCAGCAATAAAAAGGAATAAATTATAAATACATGCACTGACATGCATAAATCTCAAAATAATAATATGGAGTGAAAGAAGCTGGATAACAATGAGTACATAGCGTATGATCCTGCTTAAAACAAATTGCAGAATACAAGCTAATCTACAAGGATATCACTCAGATCAGTGGTTGCCTGGGAACGAGAATGTGTTTGCAAATGGCAGGGAAGGAGGGATTACAAAGGAGCATGAAGACACTTTTGGGGATGACGAGCATTCCTTGTCTTGATTGTGGTGATGATGGTTCACAAAGTTATAATCAAAACTTATCAAATCATTCGCTTTTCATGCATACAGGTCATTGTACACCAGTTATACCTCAATTAAGCTAGAGGGTGCCTGTGTGGAGGGAGAGGGAGGGAGGGGGGGAGAGGATATGAATGGGATGTCAGAGAAAAGAGTAGAAAAACAGAGTTAAAGGGAAAAGAGAAGAGAAAGATAAAAGAGGTACAAGGTATGCATGAGAGAAAATGAAGTAGGAAAGGGTCGAGAGACACACAGGGGGCAGCAGGCGTCTGTGGCTTTGGCCACCCCCATCCCTGTGGTCCCAGGGCATTCTCATGCTCTCTTCTTGCCCTCACAGGTCACTGTCCGCCAGTGGAAGAAGGAGGGAAACTACGAGGTTCAGCAGCACAGTCTGGACTCTTACCTGCCACACCTGGATCTGAGGAAGCTGCAGTGAGAGCTTTGCGTGAGGCTCCAATGGAGCTTGGCTGGAGCAGGAATAAACCACATTGGTCAGACACAGTCTCTGGGCCCTTCTTGACTTGGCCCCTGACTAGTTCACAGGGGACCAAGAAGAAAGGTTTTCCCTTCCACTGAGTCCTGAAGGGCAACTGCAAATCTGTGTTTTGGTTTCACGCCATTTCGTCCCTCAGAGGCACCAGAACTGGCAAGAGACCCAGTCATTGTCATCATGTAAAATCAACATGCCAGCCACCACACCCATCTCCATTCCTCCATATTTCCCCACCCCCAAAGTTCCCCTAACACTGTCTCATTCTCTGAAGCTCAGGTTCACCAGGACTTCCAGACCAGTCTGCCTCAGTGGCTCCTCTCCCCTCATGGTCCTCCAAGATGGGAAATAATCCAAAAAGAAATGAGTGAGTCAGGAATGACTGGGCAATCAACATTGGGACTTGGAGTTGAAATCACTAGGTATCCGGGAAGCCTCAGTCCCAGAGAAATCCCCAGGCTTGAGACACATAGTGTCTGCTTTTGATATAAAGATAAATAACACTCAGTGGGAAAGAAAAAATCTGAGGAAAAAGCTAGACAGTCTCTCTTCATCTTTCTCTGCACTGACTCCAACTAGACAGAGCAGGGTCTCTCCAGCAAGCAGCCCCAGATGAGCCAGGCACAAGGCAAGCTGTGCTGTCCTGCTTTGGGTTTGCAGGAATAGTTGGCATGACCTCTACACATTTTGCAGACGACCACAGCTGAAGACACCCAAGGGCGGAGAATTCACAGCAATGCCACCATTCAGACTTACTTGATGTGAACTTCACTTCCTCAGTCTTAAGCAGTCATTCCCTGAAAATGCCTTCTCTGGAAATTATAATAACGATAACAAGAGCTATCATTATTGATGCCTTAATATCTACTAAGCAACGTGAGTGGCAAACTTTCTCAGCTGCACTGTCAATCTCTAACCTCTGTGTGCATTGTCTCAGTTACACTCACCAGCCCTGAGACCTGCATTCCCATTTTATAGCTAATGATATGGAGGCTCAGAAATACTAAATAACTAGGAAGGAAAAAAAATTACTAAGAACCTAAATCAAACACCTCACCACACTATCTGTCAAAGAAAAAGATAAAAATACTTTCTGAAATATGGACAGACTCAACATTGACCTGCCAAAGGCCTTCAGTCAAAGAACCAGTCAAGGATGTACGTCAGGAAGCAGAAATGTGACCACAGAAAAATGTAACAGGAGTCATGAGGAAAAGAAAAAATTCAGCGTATCTAAATCAGAATTAGTTTTAAAACAAGATGTTAAAACACATTCTAAAATTCCAGATGAGTACTTCCTGGAAGAATAGAGGAGAGAAGATTCAATTTTAAAATAGCCCATTTTTAGGAAAGATAGAAATACTACAAATATTATTTTTTAATAACTCATTCTCAGAAACTGATGAATCCATGAGACAAAAGTTAAGTAATGATGAAAAGGATTTGAATATTACCACAGGTTGCTCAAGCAAATTGACAATTAAATCCCAATGAACAGTAGCTCAGTGATAGATTAATGATGCTGAGAAGAGTCTCTCTTGACATCATGATCCCCAAAATGGCACATCAGTTTTCATGAATCAAATTTCCAACACATAGAGATATTTTAAAAAGTGAGAAGTCTGGTATTTCCTTGTACTGAACTCTGAATTAACATGCAACAAAGAACAGAAAAATAGAGACCTACAAACAGGTATCTTTTTTGAGAACATTGAGAAAAATATTATGTTGGATTCTGTTGGAATATTAACACAAAAAGAGTAGTCCATTTCGACCAGGCATGTTTTACCCTGACTGTGAGGGCAGAACACTAAATAATTGCATGACCTTGATCACTCTGTTGACTTTAAAATACAAATAACATACAAAGTAAGGGAAGATAACAGTACCTCATGGAAAGGAAAGATCTCTTTTCTCTCCTCGCCTGAAACCCAATCTTGCAGTTCAAAAAGATCACTGTCTATTGTCTATGTCACACAAAATAATTTAATACAAGAAAAGTACTGGTACATATTAAAGTTTCAAGGGCTCGGAGCATGAAGACACCATGGACACTGCAAAGAGACATTAATGAAGTGCCCTGCGCCATTTCATCTGCACTAGCTTCTTTTTTTCATGGTGTTTTTCAGGATGTCCTTCTTGGCCCCTCATTGTCTCTGCCTCTCTAGCAAGTCTGTCTACAGCCAGTGCTGTGGCCAACCTTTCTCTTGCTGTCTTCACTTTCCTTTCCTGTTTCCTGATATCTTCCTCAGTCACCAGAAATTGTTTGCACAAGAGCTGTGGGATACCCAGATCAACTCCTGAAGACCCAGCAGGGATGGGCATGGGGCTGGAGTTCAGACTACCTGCAAGAACACCTGGCAGATATTCACCCGTGCACCTAGGTTCAAGTTTTTGCAAGGCTTTGGCAAGATCCAAAGTGCTTAACGGTTCCCCTGTGCTGCTGCAGGCCCGGAGGCCTTGTAGCCTCTTCTGCCAGCACACCTGTTGGGGCTTGTCCAGGGCTTCCTCCCAGTGATGGCATCTGACCTCATTACCAGGATGGGATGTAATTCTGGTAACTGGCCTCTTGAATATGTAACTGGACATCCTCAAAGGGATCAAGACACTTAAGCAAGACTTTGGTTTGGATTGGTTTCCACAATCATGTTGCTTCCTCTGTGGAGTCTTGACCATCATACTTCTTTTGCTTTTACCCTATAAAAATAAATCATGAGATTGGTTTAAAATTGGTTTAAAATGGTTTAAAAGGTTGCCTTCTTAGGAGCATGGTATCGGTTATCTTGTACTTCCACCTTCCTTCTCTACCTCTGGGGATAGATCTGACCTGTGTCCTGGGATGTCATCAAACCAGAAAGTTCAAGGTCAAAATTCAGGACCTACTCCAGATCAGTTCTCCTTCACCATCTTGTAAGATCCTCTCTTTTATGATTTATTCTCACTCTCAACCATACAATTCCTGGTCTTCCCCCTACCCCCGGACACACAGTGCCCAGTCTTTTTCTAAATCTCCAGCCCCACCATCCTTCTGTGTTAGGTGACTATTCATTTGCTCAACCTGATGACCACTTGGTTTTCAGAACTTAAACCAATAGTGAAATTATCATCTGCCCTGTTCTTAGCAACTCACTCCCATATCCCAGACATTGACGTCAACCAACAATGTCATGGTCAAAAATAATTCAGAGAACATATTCACCCACCATAAATTCCTGATTTTCAGTTTTCACTCAAACACTTATACAATATTTACCTGTCCCTCAAGATTGGAAGTAATGCCAGATCACCATATACTCACCCTACTTTCTCTCCTATTCCTACCAATCCTGGATTCCATGGTCTATGATCTCAATAATTCCCTTGGAATAATTCAGAATTCCTTAACAATTATCATATCTGCCTTGTAAAATTTCAAATCTGGAAGATCCTCATTATCCACCATGCCATAGCTACTGCTAGTCTTAGGATAACTGCTGTGAAGAGCACACATACTTTAGTACCACCATAAATCCAAAATCATCTACATCCACTGCAAAACATCCATAGTCCCTGGAAATTTTACTTTATTTTTTATGTGTTGGCATATTTATTCCTTGGCTTTTCACAAAGCTTGTTTCAAACATTCCCTACTTTTTACTTCATACATATCCAAGATCCCTTAACTTGCCTGATATTTCACAGAGAAATGGTTCTTTCCACTCCTTCCTGCTCGTTGTGGATCCTGAGAAAAAGTCATCTACCTCCTGTGCCTCTGGGGCCTCATCTTCAAGCACCTCCTCAGACCACCCCACTCTTCCATCTGCCCTCACCATTCTGTGGGTGCTTCCTTGATAAGGTCACAATGACTCCTTTGTTACTAGACCCAGTAGGAACTTTTCAGTATTCATATGACAAGATCTTTAAGTGGAAAACTTATAGGTGTGTTTGCAACAACTTAGATATGTGAACCCTATTTGACATCTGTGAATAGTGTACAATCTAAATACAAAGCAGATACATCCGACAAAATTCAACTTACAAAATGAGACTGTGTTGTAAGTAGAAAGTGCTGGATTTCTGATAGCACAAAAATGTAAACTATCTCTATTAATTTTTACATTGATTGCATGCACAGGTAAAAATATCTTGGTTATAATGTTTTAAAATATATTACTAAAATTCATTTCACATGTTTGTTTTTATCTTTTTAAAGGCGGCTACTAAATTTAAAAAATTCCATATTATAGAGTGCTTAGTGGTCCTATTGACAGCACTGATCAAGCCGTGCCTAAAAATAAAGCCCAGAGCAAAATGTCTGGGAAAAATTTTCCCAAGGAGAGGAGTCTACCTCCACCCCATAGCAAGATGCAGCATGTACACACACACACACACACACACACACACACACTCACACACACGGTAGATGTCCCAGAGTACCACCATTACTTCTCAAACACCATGAGGTTGCACTCCCACAGAGTCCAAACTGGACTTGATCTCAAGAGAGAAATCAGAAGTCCATATAATTTACCATTTAGGGAGAGCCAAACCAGAGACTATGCATAAAAAATTTTTTAGTTGCCCATCATCGGCTTCTATTATAAATTCAATTTGTTTGGAAAACTCTTCCAGGGAGGGTCATTTTAAAAATACACAGTAAATGTAAATAACTATCACTCTAGCCAATAAATGAAACTGAAAGGATAGAACACAAATATTATCATTATCAGATCACTACTGGATTTGTGAGTCAGTCAGGGAACAGATGAGATTGGATTAATTAGGTGATTCTAATTGCACCGCCATAATATTGATCACATTACGCTAGGACTTCTGAAACATGGCAGCCCTCCCAACTACTTAACCACCAAGGCCCAGCAACCAGACAGGTTGTTGCTGGCAAATCCCCTCTGACAACACCTGGAGGATTTTCCCAACATCCCACTCTGCCACTGCATTCTTCTACCTGCTACAGGCCAAGGAAACATTTTCTCCAAGGTTCATGCTCTGTGTGTATGCCAAGATCTGGGGGTGACCCTTCTCTCCCAGGTGAAGAGAAGGATCGAGGTGCAAGCCCTGGGAGCTGCAGGGATTGGACAAGAACTAAGATTTGCTGACACAGAAAAGAGAATCTATAGTGTGCAGGGTCAGCAGAGTCCAAGAAGCCCCAGTGATTCCTGGATAGAATCAGAGAAGAGGATGTCAGAGCAGGTATGTTTGGGTGTGATTTTGCTTGGGAATATCAGGAGGACGTGCGTAACTTAGGTAATGCATTCATAAATGTTTTTTGTTCATATATCCATCCTTTGTTATGGAGTACTTTCTACATACATTAAGGCACTAGCTCTTGCCCTCTGGAGTTTACAAAGTCAGTGCCAGAAGAATTTATAAATTTTATTTATAATATACAGATACAGCACTTCAGGTATGTTAGGTGTTCCAAGCATTTTTCAAACATTAACTCCTTTAATAACTCTCCATGACCTTACAAAGTAGGTATTCTTGTTATTATGCTAATGACAGATGGAGAAACTGAGGCACAGACAAGGTAAGTAACTTGCCCAAGGTCAAATATCTAGTAAATGATAGAGCTGGAACCCAGGCCTGTTTTGAGTGGTATTCTGTGCTATGTCCCCTTCCTGTAATTCTCATTTCTGAGTTTATTCATCATATACATGTGTCACCAACCCACAGGTGTTACAGATATAATCTCATGTATACCTGGCGATATCAAAAGGAAGTAGTTACTAGCATGAACCCCAACGTGCAGGTTGGGAGAGTGGAGAGGCTCCCAGTGGCACAAAGGCTTTTCCAGGACAGGGAACTGACAGAGAAAAAAAGAGGACTGAACTCAGCTCTGTCCCCTCCAAGCTGGGACCCTGGTTACATTCCCAGCATGTGGTGTGGCGAGCTGTGGTGGATATTTGTGAACAGTTATGGAGATAACACAGCCAAGTAGGGTAAGCAGTCAATGGTCTAGTGGAGGCTTTGGGTGGGTTTCAGTGAAGGAAGGGGCCCAGGAAATGGAATCTTGAAGAAGCAACCTCACTTCCTTGGTGACAGAACCCAACAGAATTCTGGTCACCAGGCACCCACATTCTAGAGACAGCCCCTCATTCAGTTCACTTGACCAGAGATGCTCCACAGAGCAACATGTATGTGGTCCCGTCATTTCCCCACTTTCCAAGGCTCTGGCCTCAGGAGAGCCAAGAGTGAGAACTTTATCAGTCGCTGTAGACATTGGCTCAGCCCTTATTTCTAACACCTCTGGCCATTCAGCACAAGGTACCCTAAGGTAACACAAGGCATCCAGGACAGGTCAGTCCAGGCCAGGCCACAACTGTGATCCCACCAGGGCAGCCCCACACCCTTTAGCCCTTACTGTGTGTGGTGGGGGGATAAGGCAGGAAATGAGGGGTGTCTTCCTGGGCAGGAGCAGATTAGGTGTGGGAAACCTGGCAATCTGTCATGTCCATACCCCAGCTTATGTCTAGCAGGATGGAAATGTAAATTCTGGGTACCAAGGACCTCTACCCACATCCCAAACCTCAAGGTGTCATCTTGTTCCCTCTCTGGCTGGAGATCTATGCAGATGCTCCTCTGTGCTGGATCTTGGAAGCAGAACTGGGGGTCCACATTTCCTCCTGTGGTGTTGTCCAAGCAGACCCCTGAAGCCTCTTCCCCAGTTACTCTTTAAGAGCTTTTCAGATTTAAATGGGTCCCAGGGGAAATAGGCATTCAGGTTTTCTCTCTTAAGTCTCATCACATGTTTAGGCTTTGGAACAATAAACCACTCAGATACATAAAATTATATGTTTATTCATTCAGATATTAGAAAACAATCAAAATTGTTTTACCTCTATTTATCAAGGGATTCCCCCTCTCTTTTTAAGAGTCCCTGTCTACACCTACCCTCAGCGATCAAGACTCACCACTGGGGTTGCATCTCAGATTAATGCTATCCTTGAGGATTTGCTACTATATCTAGCCATGTCTTCCACCACTGAATAAACACTAAGTATGTCCTCTATTGCTTCAACCACTCTATCCCAGAAAACTCATTTCCTAACTAAGAACTTTTCAGACCACTCTTTTGTACCTTCTATGTTTTGTTTCATCAACTGACAGTACAAAGATTCATATTTGGGTAAAATATCTAAGTCATACATGCTTTTTCCATGTTGTATTTGAACTATTTTAGAAAAGTTTTTAAATTTAAATTTTAGCTTTAAAACTTTCTCTGAATGCAGACATTAGCCAAATTTTAAAAGATGTAATATATTCTCCTCAATTTTAAATAATCATTTTCCAACTTACTTGAAATGCTAAATTTATCAAATACTAAACTTCCATTTTTCAAGGGGCTGTTTCTGGAACCTCCATACCCCTCTTCAATTTGTTGGGGGTTTTCCTCCCATAACAAACTTTAGAGAATGTTGTGGTATATTACTTTTTCCATATCCTCCCTTGTTCTTCATTCCCCCCCCAAAAAAGTTCTTATTTTTCTTTGAAAATTTTCGCTTCCAGGGTGCCTGGGTGGCTCAGTCAGTTAAGCATCCAACTCTTGATTTTGGCTCAGGTCATGATCTCGGGGTCCTGGGATAGAGCCCCACCTCAAGCCCCATGTGGGGCTCTGAGCTCAGTGGAGAGTCTTCTTGAAGTTTCTCTCCCTTGGCCCCTCCCCAACCCATATGCATGTGCCCTCTCTCTCTGTCTCTCTCTCTCTAAAATACATAAATAAATCTTTAAGAAAAAAGAAAAATTTCATTTTCTTGTGAATTTGAGAATCAACATCTTCATCTAAAAATTACATTATGGTTCTATTCTAACTTTATTACATTGAATCAAATATTTGGGGTGAAAATGAATTCTTTACAATATTGTAAACCATTGATAAATACAGTTCATTTTTATTTAATCATGGATTTTATTTCCTTTTTAATGTTTTATCATTTTTTCATATTATCTATTGCATTTGTTTTAGAATTTATTGACGTATTATTGTCATTATTACCTTACTTCTGGTTGCTTTGAGTATATGCGCTGCTGAAGTGAGCACTACTTCTGATTGCTTTGAGTTTATTTTCCTCCTCTTTCTAAAATTTCTTGAGGTGGGAGCTTAGATTAATGATTTCAGACACTTCTTTTCTAATGTAAGCATTTAGTGCTATATTTAAATTCCCCTCTAGGCACGGCATTATCTGCATGTCACAAATTTTGATATGTTGTATTATTTTCATCTTTTTTTAAATTTAAATTCAATTAGCCAAGGTATAGTACATCGTTAGTTTTTGATATAATGTTCAATGATTCATTAGTT